CATACTATGTCCTGATTAATCATCTTGCTTTGCAGTTGTGTGTATGAGGAGTTCAAGGTGGTTAGTACCAATTTGTCAACATTATTTATTGTAATAGTCAGATGGAATAGTCATACCTGGAGATCTTTACCTATTCGTTTTCTCTCCTCCAAGAATCCCCAAAACTTGGTTGTTGGGGCTGGTTATGTGGCAAGAATATGCCTATGTGAGCAGCAAAGTATAAAAAATACCAGCTGAGATTCTATTTGGGGCTTCTTGGTTCTGAGGTATTCCTGATCCAAGACAGAATGTCCCTATGGACCTGTTTTAGTTTCCTATTGCTGTGGTTAACATTTTACCACAAAATTAGTAGCTTAGAACAACATATATTTATTATCTTATAATTCTGATGTCAAAGGTCCAAAACCAGTCTTATGGGCTGAAGTCAACGTGTCTGCAGGGCTGGCTGCTCTAGAAGTTCATGTGAATGTCTGTGCTCTTGCCTTTTTCAATGTCTGGAGGCGGCCTATGTGCCTTGGCTTGAGCCCTTTCTTCCAAGCTCGTATCCAGTAGAATGGCACCTCTAAATCTCTGACTCCCTGGCCTTGACACTCACTCCCAGCTCTTGGGATGTTGGCTGTGTTCCTGACTTCCTGTCTCTGTGACAACTTGGTATCCACTATTTGCCTTCCCAGTTCTCTATTGATTTTTTTTTTCCAGATTTTGTTTAAAAAATAGTATGGCTTATTTGCTGACTGGGCTCTATTTGATACATAGTTCCTATAGCAGATAGTGGTGGTATATGTTAACAATTTTTTCCCCCAGTACTGGGGATTGAAGCCAGGGGTACTTTACCACTGAGTTACTACCCCAGCCCTTTCATTTTTGGTTTTGAGACAGGGTCTTACTAAGTTGTCCAAGCTGGACTTGAATTTGCATTAATCCTGCTTTGGCTTCCCAAGTAGTGGGGATTATAAGTGTGTACCACTGTGCCAAGCAAAATATTGACAATTTTTGAATCTAGAAAATAGGCATGAGTGTTCATTGTATTACTTTCCCAACTTTTTGGTATATTTAAATCGTTAATAATAAAACCCTGGAGGTAAAGTTTTGAAAATCTACATAGGGCTTTTGTTAGGAGGAAATGATAAATGAAAATGTGATTGCTCCATAAGTCAACTTGATGCCACTTCTAAAAACCTTTCAATATCCCAAACTACCCACCCCCACCTGCAAAAATATGCCTAGTTTTCTGTTTGAATACAGGAAAAGTTATTTGGGCTGATGTCAGTGCCACAAAAATTCCAAAATATGACCTTTGTGGAAAAAAAAAAAAGAAAGATACTATAGGGAAAAACCTATGTAACTATTCATCTTATAGAGAAGAACATGGAGGCCCAGAACTGGCAAGTATTGTCCAAAATCATGTAATAAAATTAATTGAGTCTAAACTTTCCCATTACTCATTCATAAAAACATTGGAAACCAAGTACATGAGGCAGATCTCCTGCTGTATATAATAGGAAGCAAACAGGCTCAAGCAAAAAATGGAATTTGTTACCTCTTTTAACTGAAAAATGGGAAAAAAAGTATGTATTTAGTACTTGGAGCAATGGCACGAAGAAACTTTTTCCTCTTTTCTGTTGGCTCCATTTGGTAGCCTCTCTGTATGCTGTAGCAAAATTGACCACTGGAAGATCCAGGCACCTCCTGGTAAGTTAGCATATGTAGCATCTTCCCCATTAACTTCAGCAAAAGTATTAGAGCTGACTTGAGTCAAGATGGGGCCATATGGATTGACAATGGGGGAAGCTAGTTCTTTAGAAAAAGTAGGGTGCTATTACTAAAAGAAGCCAGTGAAAGAATAAACAAACGTTGAACAGGTCAAAATGAGATGATCAGCAGCTAGACTTCTCAATTCCTACAGGCTGAGAACTAGGGTTTTTTTAGATGCCAAGTGAGCAAGCCAGGACTTAAATTCATTTATGAATTAAGAAAGATTTGTGGAAAATTTGTAAAACAGAAGGAAAATAACCTTAGGTCTCTCTTTATTTTCAGAAGATAAAGTACAAAGTACAATGTATTAAATAGTAGTTTTATACTGCCCTTTTAATTAAGCTGGACTTTGAAAACCTAAAATTGGACTTTTAGGTTTTCAAACAGAAAAACTAGGCATATTTTTGCAGGTGGGGGTGGGTGGTATTAAGGTTTGGAATACTGGGAGGTTTTTGGAAGTGGCGTCAAGTTGACTTATGGAGCAATCACAATTTCGTTTATCATTTCCTTCTAACAAAAGCCCTCTCTAGATTTCCAAATCCTGCAGATATTAAAGCCAAGTTTACAATATTTAATATAACTCAGTGCTAAAAAGACTCTATAGTATAAACAGAGCCTACATTTAAATTGAAATATAATTCAAGTACCATAAAGTTTATGCTTTAAAAGCGTATGTCTATTTGGTTTTGATTCCCAATGGATTATGTCTGAAATGCTGACCCACTCACCACATTAAGCAGATTTTAGTGGCTTAAAAAAGCAGCCAAAATGTCGAAAATCCACATTCACACCAGTTTTAAGAGAAAAGCCATTTATATCTCCTTTTTTTTTTCCACTGCATTTCCCAGTGATTTCTTACAGTCTGGAGCTTCCTGGTTCCACCAGAGTTCTGTCTTCTAATTCCAAGCCAGCAGAGGCTCAGGTTGGACACTTTTAATTTGAGTCACTAATATCTCCTCTAGAGATGTTTAAAATCAGAATTTTGGCAAAATCTGTTATGAAGGTAAGTCGGCTTTCAACCAAACCTGCAGGGAGAGTGACATCTGCTGGTCATAAAGATTGCATCTCTATTCTATCAGAACTCCCTTTTGAAAATTATCCATAACTTTAATTACACAATAAAAACAAGTAAACCCAGGCCTCTTCCTTGGAAACAAATAAATGATCACATATGACTTATATGTGCCAATATATGCTTTAATCTAAGTTTCTTCTTCATTTTAGCCAACATCGTCTCTTTCATTTGGTCAGGGGAAAATAAACTGTTAAAAGAATTTGAAAATGACCTAAAAGCCCCTTTAAAACCGTTTCCTTAAAACTTCCCTTTGGGTTTTTGTTTTGGAGCAACAATAACTTAATTAATCTGAGAGAGAGTCTAGTAGACTTGATGGAAGATGGCTGCCAAAGGCCGTGTTACCCGGATACCGCTACTGAACTATGAAGTTGCAGGCTTTGCACAGTCTTTTTTCCATACCCCCCACCTGTCTTCAGAATCACATACAAATTAAACTCTATTTATTTATTTGCATCTAGATTATTCCTATATTAGCTCTGGAAATTTTTCTCATTGCTTTTGATGTTAGACTATAATAGGAAAAAGACAGACCTATATTTTATATTTATGTTTCTAAATGAAGGCCTGCTAATTAATATACTGATAAAAGAATTTTTATACATGATGATAACACTGAGTTTTGTGTAGAAAATATAAACTTTTAAATTTGCAGTATTCAAGTGGCATCTAAATTTGGTAGTCAAAGTCCACTCCCCTTTAGTGTTCCTTTTTTTTTTTTCCCCCCTTCAATTACAAAAAAGTTGGGACTAGCTATCTTATAAATAAAACTTTTTGGACATCTCTGATTCTTTCCATGCAATAAAATTCTAGAGGGAAAAATTTGTAATCAAATTGCCGTACACAACTATTAAAGGAACTAAAAGTAGTACAATAATAAAAAAATTGGGATGAATAGCCAGAGGGAGATGGATGTTTTACAAATTCAACCCTTACCTGTTATCTCGAGTCAATATATAACTTCTAAAGCTGATAAATAAAAACTTCCATATGTGCTTAGTATAAACATATTAGAGATAAGTGGAACCAAAGAAGTTAAAGCAGAAAAAAATAAGGTAATTGGCAGGAAGGGACTGTGGCTTTTCATAGAGTGCTCTCTACTATTAGTTTTCCGCTGGTCTTTGACACATAGTGCTTTTATAGTTTTAGAATGAAAATGTAAATGTTTAAATTTAAAATTATATATTTTGCCAAATCGTTGTTCAGAAAAATTATACTAACTTAGATTCCCATGGGGAAATTTTTTGATGTGACCCTTAATTATGTTAGTGATTTTATGTCAATTTATTTATAATCCATACTCTGGCCTATTCAAAAATTTTAAGCAATCTTAGAAAAAAATATATAGGTTAAAGATGTAATGTAACTGAGGAATTAGGGGAAAGGAAAAATAGATCTAGGGAAATAAGCTGCAGTCAGATGACCAAAAATCCATGGGAACCATCTGGAGAACCAGTGAAGAATGAGGATCCTCAGCTGGGTGTGGTGGTGCACGCCTGTGACCCCAGGTATTCTGGAGGCTGAGGTAGGAGTATCACAAGTTCAAGGCCAGCCTGGGCAACTCAATGAGATCCTGTCTCAGAAATAATAAGGATGATGTAGGGCTGAGAGTATAGCTCCACAGTAGAGCACTGGCCCTGCATCTGATCTTCAATACTGCAAAAAACAAACCAACCAAACAAACAAACAAAAAAGAGGAATGTGGCTCCTTGATCTTATGCAGGACTAATAAAAGATAATCTCTAGGGTAAGGCTCAGGAATTTCCTTTTCAGCAGTTTTGATGACCTGGAATGCTGCAGTAATTTAAAAGATGAAGTGAGTAATATGTTATGGTATTTATTAATATCCTGGTAATGAGAGCATTGGAGCTGGGGGAATGGGCATTGAGACTAGCTCCAAAGAGTGCATTTAAAAGGGCAGGAGTTAGCTGTCACTGCGTTGTCAATTTCTAGGAGATCTTCTCTTTCCTCATGGCTCAATTCCTAGCCCATCAGTTAGCTGGATTTTCTAGAGCTTGGGTCCTTTTTATGTATTGTATCAACAGGTTACATAGATACTCAGTATTGAAAAATCCTTACGTATCAACCAGGTACTGGTAATCTTTTCTGCTGTTTGTGTTCCTCTCAAAACACACTTATATACACACAGAAACAAAAAAACAAAAACCACAACATATTTTCACATGCCTTATTGAAAGCTGAAGTAGCTAATTTTTAAAGCACAGAATTCAGTGTACCATAAATATAAAAGGAAGGAAAACAATTACAGCTTAATTTTACAATAGTTATTAAGAATATATTAAAAATTACACGTTAAAAAAGTGTTAAGCTTACAGTGCCTTTTGCTGCAACTGCAGCTTTTGTTCGATGATGTCTGAGAAACGAGGAACTTTTTTTGAAATAGCCACACGGATGTCATCACTCACACTAAAGCCACTTCTAGACTTTGTTTTGAAATGTAAAAGTGATGAAAAGCCCATCTCACAAAGGTATGTAGTTGCAAATGGCATGAGGATTTCTAGAGCTGCCTTTGCCAGGTTTGGAAACACCGTGAATTGAGCACACCAGAAATCCTCAAGCTTCATCGTCTCAAATTCCATGAGGATTTGGCCACTAGCTCGTAGTTCGGCAAGATCATTTTTCATTAAATAACCATCATCGACAAAATCGAGATTAAAAAGAAATGGATCCAGTATCCATTTACTTGCCTCATCAAGAGCTCCAACAGAAAAATATCCATGGAAGAAGCTGCTCAGCTCCTGGAGATGCCACAAGACGTCCGGGGCAATGCATACTCCTTCATTATCTGAAACAGTGATTTCTTCAAGGAAAGGAAAGTTTGTAAAGTTTCTTTTCTCAATTCTTTTTTGCCAAAATGGAAACTTTCTAACCAAAGCAGATAACTTTTCTCTAGCTGATACTGTGTTCATCCCAGTCCTTTGCAGAGAGGCACTAAGTTCATTTAGGTGTTTGAATAAGTCTGCAAGGTATGCCAGGTGAACTTTAAACTCTTTATCTTCAAACCCATCAATTAAATTACTGCTTTGGTAGTGAAGAAACTGATTTATTTCTTCATACATTTCAAAGATATGAGTAAGCATTTGGCCTCGGGAAAGCCACCTCATTTCAGTATGGAAAAGGAGGACGCTATATTCTATGCCAATTTCTTCGAAGAAAGCTTGAAACAGGCGATGGTTTGGAGCCCGACCTTTGATGAAATTTACTACCCTCACCACAGTAAACAGGGCATCCCTCAGTTTTGTAGGCAACGTCTTTGTGACAAGTGCATGAGGGTTTAACAGACAGTGTGTGACCACAATATGAGGTACCTCTTTTTTCACATAGGCAACAAATTCTGAACCTTCTCCTAGCACAGAGGAGGCACCATCAGTACAAACAGAGCCACATACATCAAGTGCTATTTTGTGCTTCAGAAAGAAGCCCCTGAAGAGGCGGAACACATCTTTTCCTTTCATGGTTAACTGCAGTGGTTCACAGAACAGGAATTCTTCTATGATCTCTTTTTCTTTTATATATCGTACAAATGCCATTAGCTGACTGCAGTCACCCATGTCAGTTGTCTCAGCAAGCTGAATACCCACCTTAAGAGGACTGGCTTTGATATCTTCTAGAACTTGCTGTAAGATATCCTGGCTCATTTCATCAATTCTAGAATGGATCACATCATCTGATAAAGGTACTTGCTGAAGCTTCTTTTGTGCATCTGGTCCCAAAACTATTTGGGCTATTTCCAGTGCACAAGGTTTGACCAATTTTTCAGCTATTGTATGAGGATTCTTCTCTTTGGCACATAAATATGCAAACTGATACGATGCTTGTAATAAGGCATCCTCATGAGATGCAACTCCGAGTGCCTTCAAGGTTTCTCTCTTATCAGATGGTGTTGGCACAGGCTTCAGGCCACTGAGATCATGTCCAGCTATACCACCATGCTGTCTGTTAAAATGGTCTGACAGTTTTGATGGCCTAAGGTCAGTATTTGAAAACACTGAGTTACACAACACACACTGTGGGCGTTGAGTTCCATCAGCCTCTGTTGCACAGGTGAACCAGTAACGGACATAGTCATCATCCCACTTGCGTTTCTTTGACATGGTACACAAGAATTCTCAGGTAGTATTCCAGAGATGCCACAGAAAATTGCTTTAGGAGTAAAATATAACCCATACATTAAAAAACATCAGTGGTTAACTGAAAACAAAGCTGCATCACATGCTATCCTGTACGTGTCAAGAAATATCCTATAATGTGTCAGCTGAAGGAAAGCCCTGAAAACAGGACAATCCACTTAAGGCAGCAACTCAGAGTTAACTGCCCTGGAATAAATGACCTGACAGCAAGTCTCAAGGGAGATCTGGGCTTAGGCAAGTTATGAGGAATTCTTTACTGACAAATTGTGGTTATGGCTTAATTTGTTTTCAGTGAGGTTTATGACAAAAAGGTGGGGTTAATTTTTTATCACCTAGAAAAGGCACCTCATGAGGATGCTTGCTCCTTCTATCCTGACCCAAAGATGTTTGCACACCTTCAGTTAAGAACCACTGAACAGAGAAAAGGAGTAATTCACCAAGTGTTCAAAGCAAGGGCAGATTTTGACATGGTGGCTAATGTTTCTTAATAGTTACAGATTAAACAAGTTTGTAAAACTATTTGATCCTTGGGCAGCTTTGACATCAACTTAAGCAGGAATTTCAAATAGGTTTTTAAGCCTGATGAAGTCTACCTCGACACAAAGGTGGGCTACGAAGATAGGCTTCCCTGATGTTAAGTGAAGTGTAACAAAATATTCATCGTTGATTCATATTATCCATATATAAAAGCAAAGAAACATGCTCAGGAGAAACACAACTATTCTAGTTAATGAGACTTTAGGAAAATCCCTCTCATGTGAGGACACTTTTAACTGCAAGGAATTTCATGGTGCTTTTCCATATAGCTACCCCTTCAGTAGAAGCAGTCAAAATAACAGGGTGTAAATAAGCAGCATTCCTAAGATTTGTCTTAAACCAAAGACAGGGTGTAGAAGGCCAGTGGTTCTCTATTGTAGTAAATGGAGAAATCATCTGGTTCATGGCTAAAATGAATATTCCTAGACCCTAACCCTAGAGATACTGATTCTCTAGCTCTAGATTAGGGGTCTAGAATTTATATTCTAAATAAGCACTGCAGATAACAAAGAACAGTGATTGTAATGAGAGCCGCCTATCAATCACAGGGAATCCTTCTGAAAGTATACATGTCCCTAATTATTATTAGAATAATAACTGATCCCCTGCACAAGGAGAACAAAAGAAAATTAAATAAAGTTGTCTGGGTGATCCTGATGCACACTGGAGCAAGTACGCAGGTTTAGAAGGAAGAAAACATTTCCTTCAAGACAATCCCTGGCTCACATATATTCTAGGTTGCCAAGTGAATAGTCTAACTGCTTTAATAGGCATTTAAGTTGTCTGAGTTGAGAACCACCACCTATGAAAGTAGAGAAACCTAAAAAAGGAAGTCATGCCTTTTTCCATTTCCTACTCTTTAGCAAATGAACAAAGGTCTCTGTAGGTAGGCTCCAAAAGACCTTGGAAAACAATTCTATCTCCACAATAAATAAATGATCCCTGAAGTTTTCAAAGTTCTATGTCCCAGAATGTGGCTGAAATAACTTAATGGGGACACATTTAATAGAAATGCTCACTGTGGCCACAGCAAACATCACAATAAGAACAACTACTTAAAATAGTAGCTCTCTAGTGGATATGCCACGATTAATTGGCTGTAAAATGTACTTCTGTTACTAATAGGTTGACCTGTTATATGGTTGTTATGAATTGTTATGAATTGGGGGAAATCTACTGACCCTGAACTTCAAAAAACTTTTGAAGTTCATAAGGCCTTATTTTATCAAGTAATGATATATATGACCACTTGTGTTTAGAAATACTTGCAAGTAATGATGATATCAGCATGAAAATGCCCAAGTTCCTGTATATCTGTAATGTATATTTACTATGTATATTTGGAGAGGTGGAGGGAATAAGGAAAAAGTTTTATTTTAGTCTTAGAAATCATTACTGAACCTGTTAAGAGTCCATCTTATCTACCCTGACCATGCTACTCAAGCACATTTTGATTTAAGATATACCTGTTTTGAACAAAAGAGTTTTTAGAAAAATTCACTTATAGTCTTTTCTGTTCTCCTCAAATGGGAAAATAGGTAGCAAGAATTTTTAAGATCCTCAAAGATGAACTTACCGCCCAAGTGGCTTTCTTGCCTTTTAGAACCTCCCAATTTTCACTTGCTCCTTTGTGGTATTTAGGAATAACAATACCCTAAAAAATGTAAACATTAAGAAAACCATCATCATGAGGAATTATTAATTTAAACAGATGTGATGTTACTGTGGTTGTGTTAAAAATTTTTTCATTTGTTAGAGATACAGAATTATTAACAAGTGAAATGATATGTGGGATTGCCTCTGAAATACTGTGCTTGAGCACATAAATATAGACATAAAGGGGGTGGAGATAAAAAGAAGTAAGACTGGCCTTGAGCAGATGATGTGTACACATCATACCACTCCCACTCCCACTTTTATGTACGTTGGAAGTTTTCTGTAATAAAAAGTAACAAAAAAATTTTTTAAAAAGTAAAATAGGTAAAAAAGAAAAACCCACATTATTTTAAGGAAGATATCATTTTCAAAATAGGTCTGAAAATCTTTTGGGCGCTATCTTAAGATGCTGAATGAATCTGATATAACAAAGTAAAATTTTTTTTTTTGCAAATTTAGGCACCATAAAAGTACCATACTTAACACAAAAAATAATCGGCTAAAAGGGAACATTCATGTAACAGAACTATTTAGGAAATGCTAAGATGTTATATATATATATATAAGTATTGCAGGCGTGAAAACCTTGAAGTAGAGTTGTAAGCCTGAACCACACACAATTCAGCTGGTATCCAGCCACTGCCTGTGCAAGTCCATGGTAGGAGCAGAGTTGGGGAGGCAGAGGGTGTAACCATATTTTACAGTTAAAAGCAACAGCCACAGCAGGGGCAGGATGTGGTGATTGCGCAGTTTCCAGAGGCAGACGCCTGGGATCTTGGCTTTGTCACTTACAGGCTGGGACCTTTCCACTCCTCAAGTGGGTTGAACAGTACCTACCTTATAGGGCTGTTGGGAGGTTTAATTATGAGAATGCATGCAAAGAACACGCTGCTCCTAACTGACAGGGCCTGATGGTGTTATTAGGAGCGGAGTTTGGCGCAGGCCGAGGGCTACGGTCGCCAGCGAGGAAGGCGGCCTCGGCTCGGTCTCCGCCCGCCGGTCTCCGAGCCCGAGGCGCAGGCCCGGGAGGATGCTCGGGCTTCGTTTTGGCGCCGTTTTAGGCTCCAGAGCCGCTCACTGTTCAGCCTGGGGCCAGGACGTCAGAGCCGGTCCAGGCGGCGGCTCCAAAGCTCAGACCCTCGAACGGGAACTTGGGGAGCGCCGCAGCCGGACGCTGCCGCAGAGACGCGGTTTCTGCCTGGCCGGGCTCCGTTCCATCCGGGTCCCGCGCCCTTCCCGCCCGCAGACTGGGCGCGGCGCCTCCCGCACGCAGGCGCAGTAGCGCGGCCGAGGACCCGAGTCTCTGCGGAGGGTGCATGCGCGCTGGCCCGCCGCAGTTTTGTTACTGTGAGTGGAGCTGGAGAATTTTAATTGTGTTGTTCTGGGGATGAACTGTAGAATCTTAGGAATGGAGGGCACTTGGCTTTGTCCACATAGTTCCTCATTTTTACAGAGAGCTGCAATGTTTTGAATTTGAAGTGATAATGCTCCAATATTTATCACTTTTTGGTGTCAGCGAGGAAAAAGAACAGTTCCTTGCATCCCCGCATCACGCAAACTGGGCAGACCTGAAGTTCCATTAAGATGCAGTGGAGGAGGAGCTTCCACAAGTGGTGCTTGCTGCCCATGTTGGTCACCTTTCCATCAGTGAATGTGGATGAATGTCTCATAAGTCCTCAATCCATTTTACAGATAAATTTTATTTAAAATTCCTTTTAACAACATGATTTAAAAGTAATAAACCCATATTAAAATGATTTTAAAGAAAAACCCCGGTGTACAAACGAGAAAACATTATCGAAAAAGATAAACCCAAATATATCCCTCTTTCATATTTTTAGGCAATTTGCTTCCAAAATTCTTTTAAACTTAGCGAAATGTTTATTTTTGTTTAGTCAGTCTTTGAAGCATTCCACAAGGCTGGTTCATTTGAGGGAAGAGTTAGGGGAGGCTGTTAAAGAATGTGGGATGTTAGAATGCTGGAATTTCTTAATACGAACTCATAAAACTAGCTCAGACTTCCTGCCAATAGTATAACCCATTTCTCGACCAAGTATTTGAGATAACAATACAAACCACTAAGTTTAGTGTTCTTAATTACATACCTTTATTAACAAAAAATACAAGACAGACACCAGTGTCAGACTTGATGTTGAACCACCCTAATAACGTAAGAATAGCAAAACAAAATTTTGACTATCTTAAGAATAAGATCTGCCTTGCTATTTTAATTTCAATTAGTTGGAATCTAGACACCATGTATATTCCCAGTATTTGCTAATTTGACTCAGCTGTTCTTCTAGAACTAAGAAGAGATTTCAACTTAACACAGTATACTACACACTTTTTTGGTAGTTTAGAAAGGTGTTAAGTAGATGCATTCATATCGGAGATTTTAGTTTGTTTTCACTGATTCTGCTCTATCAGCATTATTTTCATAAAGTGTCCTGGGGATCATAGTGATCTCAGTTACTAAGATCCATACAAGCTATCATTACAATTCTCTGAAGAAACCTCCAACTTCAGGTTTTGATCCCTGCAAATTTTACAAAGTGACACCTGCTAGCTAGCTATGAAGATTAGGTATCTCTCAGATATTCTGCACTCTCTTACAATCTAACTTAATATCATGATCATTACATAAAGGCATAATAAATAACAAAATATTACAAACCATATTTACTATGATAAATGAAAGAATTTCTATGTTTTTCTAGTATTTTTCCAATAGTAGTAAAAGTACTATTATATTGACTCAAGAATGAGAAAATAGTGACCCAAAGACCAAGGTAAAAATAACTTTTTTCATTTCAGACCAGGAAAACCTGATAAGGTTAAAAACAAGTGATTACAAAATAACTAATAACAGTTAAATTACAACTGTAATTGCTAGTCATTAAAAAAAAAATGAAGCCCTAGTTTTGAGAAAGAGTAACTAATCTACTTTCAATGTGTGTGCTAATACTAGACAGAAGGCCAAAAAAATTGAGGAAATAGTTTGAGACTTAACTGTTAAGTACAAAACATTCTTGGTAAGTAGAGAGTAAAGGTTTTTCCATATCACTAATATAAAAATTAGACTATTTCCAATCTTACTCCACACTTAATGTACTTTCTGTTTGAGATCTTCACTTCTTCAGTGTGGAAAAGAATGAATTTACTTTGAGACTTCTGAAAGCTTTATTAAAGTTAGTCAGCAAAGAAGAGTAGACAAGGATTTTTCCAGTCTATAATCATGAGCAAGAAGTTGAAAAGACCATGTCAGCTGAATCTATCCTGGATGAATTTCTACGACTAGTTACTGTCCAAGGAAAGAGGCCATGGGGTCATCTGGCCTCTGCCGTTTCATTCTGTAGGCCTCCATTTCCTCTTCGGTGGGTTCCCGAGTTTCATATATGCTATTGTAAGGCCGTTTCCTCTCATCAACCTGCATGATCTCCTTAACATGAAGAAGGCGGGCCTCCTCTGCATTCAGTGCCTGTGGTGAGAGGGAAAAAATTACTATCACAGTGCTATGTCAGATCTCTTTTGTTCAAAAGTGGCAAAGTACCCAAGACCCCACTGAATCTGAAGAGTTATATAAAAAACATAGATTACCTAAAAAGGGCTTAGGAGTCAATTCTTCCACTGTGAAGCTACAACTAATCAGTATTTGACTCATATGACATTTTCATAGAGCACAAAACATTCTATGACATTTTAAATCAATGTTGAAGAAATTATATTTATAATAAAAATTGAACAGGGCTCATTTTTTTCTACAAGCCCACAGCTGATGCTTCTGGCAGAGAGTGTAAGTCCAATTTTTCTCCAGGACTTGCTGAAACTTACACATGATGGAACCAGAAGGCAATTCATTCTGGGCAATATGCCAATAACTCTAAAATAACAACTTTGCCAAGAACATTTCTTTGGTGAATAAGTAATATTTACCAAACATTCCAAGAAGGTGGCAATACCTAGAGCCACAGAATTGCCATTAATATGACCTGGGCATGTAACTCAGAGTTTGGCTCATTTCCTCATTTTAAAAATGAACTTGCAAACAGGACTAGACCATTTCCTAAGTCCCTCAGATAAAGAATACTCTTATTTGTCACTTTGTACTTGGACTTAATGGAGTACCTTTTTCAATTTTTCATGTTTCTTTTCTTCATCCTCACTATCTGAGCTGCTCTTTCGGTGCTTCTTCTTTTTCTTTTTCTTCTTCTTTTTCTCTTCTTTTAGTTTTTCCTGATGCATCTGAAAGGGAAGATTAAAATTAGTGCTATTAGGGTGAAAACAAAGCTGTAGTACAAGTTTAAAGTCCTCCTTTCAGGACTTAAAAATGTAGAACAAATGATTACAGACTTACTTCCATGAGGGTTTGAGGTTTTTTCACAGATTCTTCTCCACTTACATCATTTATAATACATTCTTCTGAATTCTGTGGGAAAACAAATGTAATGTGATTGAATGTTATAATTAGCAATCACTTAAGAACAAGTTAAAGGCTGGGGATATAGCTCCGTTGGTAGGTAGAGTGCTTGCCTTGTATAAACAAGGCCCTGGGTTCAATCTCCAGCAATATACACACACACACACACACACACACAAATCTGAAACATGAGAAGACATGTTTTATGTGGGGTTTGAATTAAGAGCTTTGGCTGTCTTAAATATTTAAAAACAAGAAGAAAATTACTTACAACAATATCCTTTCCAGCTTCTCCAGTACAATAGGAATACTTGAAAAAAGAGTGACAGCATTTGTATCCCCATCGGCCATCCTTCCAGTAAGATCCCCAGATATGCTGTGCAGAGAGAGAGAGAGAAAGGGGGAAGGGGGAGGGAGGAGAGAGGGAGATATTACTTTAGGGATTTTCATATACTGTTGATAAGATAAGACAGCCCTTTTAAAGGTAATTTGGGAAAAATTTTGGGGGATTTCTGGCTAACAGAGGGCAGGCCAATCTCAAGTGCTGAGAAGCTAGCATTACAGTTACAATGGTCTTTAATTCAATTTTCAAAAGTCTATGAAAAAATTTAAGATATACAATTTCTCTAAAAATTAAGGCCTGGGAAATTCTGGTCCTATATTCCCACTTGGCAATAAGCTACTATTGCCAACAGAGAATGTGCTTACTAGAGTTTGTTGTCCAGTTTGTACAATTTGCCTAGCTCACTTCAGTGGCCTGAGCTGCTACAGGTATTTAGGTTTTTGATCCCTGACTTAGAGACAAAATTATAGTCTGGTTATTTCAAGAGTACAACAAACAGGTCTGAAGGGTGTAGGTTAGTGGTAAAGCATGTGTTTAGCATGCCCTAGATTCAATCCTCAGTACCAAAAAAAAAGTATAGCAAATGACAATGTATGTTTTATGCAATGCAGTATGAAATATACTGCATAATCTATTACATATTCTTGTCAAAACATTTAACTTATATATAAAAAAAGCTTTTGGATCTGAATTCTTATTTACAGGATATACAGAGAATCGAGGAATAAGTTATATAATACTACTAATAAACAGTCAAAATATAGAATATGAGTCAGTTTACATGATAAATGGCTAGATCTGGTAAGTTGACTTGATCTGATCATTGTCAAGAAAACAGAGAGAAAGACTCTAGAATAAGACATAACAGTCAAATAATAAAACAAACTTCAACTAGATTCTGACTAAAATAGCTATTCAAAGCACTTCTGTGGGGCTGGGGATGTGGCTCAAGTGGTAGCACGCTTGCCTGGCATGCATGCGGCCCAGGTTCGACCCTCAACACCACATACAAACAAAGATGTTGTGTCCGCCAAAAACTAAAAAATAAATGTAAAAATTCCCTCCCCCCCCCTTTAAAAAAAAAAAAAAGGCACTTCTGTGTATATCTTTTAAGAAGTGATTTAAGAACTAAATATGATAAGGGAAATAATCAATAAAATCAATAAACAGGAGAGACTCTAACGAAGTCTACTTATATCTTTAGCATATTGTAAAATGTGTTTTAAAAAAAGAAGATGAGCTTTTGTAGCCTGTAGGAATGCTTATAAGATTCTTTCAGATTTTATGTATGTCTCAAATTTTTCATAATAAAAGTGGCAAAACAGAATACAACTAATAGCCTTTATTGGATCACTAACCTCCATATGTAGTAAATAAATGTCAATATTATCTTTAGTATTTTTCATT